CCCCGTGGCTTTATAAACCACAACAGTCATACTCTTTAGGGACTGGAAGGCTGCTATAAGGTCTCCCTTCAGCCTTCTCTTCTCTTTTCCAGGCTGAACAACCCCAATTCTCTCAGCCTGTCCTTCTATGGGAGGTGATCCAGCCCTCTGATCATTTTCATGGCCCTCCTCTGGACTCGCTCTAACACATCCATGTCTTTCTTGTGCTGAGGACTCCAAAGCTGGATGCAGTACTCCAGGTGGGGTCTCATGAGAGCAGAGTAGAGGGGGAGAATCAGGTCTCTCGACCTGCTGGTCACCCTTCTTTTGATGCAGCCCAGGATACGGTTGGCTTTCTGGGCTGCAAGCGCACATCACCGGCTCATTTTAGGCTTCTGAGCAACCAGAGAAGCCACAATGCAAGTAGCAATCTTGTTGCAAAATAGCTTTTGGTTCTCCATAGTGCAGAAGGAGGTCACATACCATCAGTCCTGGCAGCTCCCGAACATCAGCGCACTCTACATGTTTGGCTTTTATTTCAGTCCTTTAAAGCAAGGCTCAATCTATATCAGGCCAGTCAGTATCTTGGCATCTATGCAGTCATGTTTGGTGTTTAGAATCAACTAAGAGTATCTGTACTTTAAACATGAAGTTAATTTGAAATCATCGACTCTCACACTGTCAATAGAAGTGTTCTGAACATTTATTGTAGCACATATGATACTGCTTTTGTAAGGTTTGCTTAAATACTATTGTGTATTTTTAAAAAGAAGAATTTAGTGTGCTCAACTGCACTCCATCAGACAGAACAGCTACCTTTAGTGTAAAAGAAATATCTCTTCACAGTGCTAATTCTTAAATGGTACAAATAACGTGAGCAATAAATAAATAATCAGTTCAAACAAATCTTCAGATAGAAACTTAATTTGGGCAAATAAATGACACTAACTGAAATACTTGACTGGATGAGAAGACAAGTTTGGCAAATACAAAAACACACATTAATTTGCAGTATGTTAGTTTGACTTTCCTACCACACTGTTTACAACTGGCAGAGGAGTCACCAGGAACTGCCAGTACAAAGAATAAACGCGGAAAGTGAGATCTCACTCCTTTAGCAGTTATAATAAAAAAAAAAAAAAAAAAGTCAAAAGTAATAGACCATCCAGCACTTTCACATCCACTTGGAAGTCTGGCACTAAATCAATACACTACTCTCTGCTCCTACCCCATTGCTAGGTTTTCCAAACGGTTTGTAAAAAGCTACCCATGAAGTTCCAATTTGTGACTCAAATGAAAAATAAGGTCTGGAACACCATCCAAAGCATCAAGGCACACCAATTGTAATAACTGCTCTGAAGAGGGAGTGAAACCGTAGTTAGTTTTAACATAAGCAACATTTTACTAATACTATGACATAGTCACGTTTTCCAGAATTATAACATATATTTCAGAGGAAATTTTCCATTGACAGCTTGAAAATAAAGACAGAGTTTTCTTCTTTGTTTCCAATCTCATTTTTAATTCTGTGTCTGTGAAAAAAAAAGCTCTTAAAAACCGTCACCAAGAGTCTCCCATTCACATTTTCACCCCTTCATTAGTTTTCACTCATGTAAATGTTGAGATTACATTCACATATTTTCTATTTAGCTGTACAGCAGCCCGCAGATAAAGAGAGAATACAAAACCTGCATCATGAGTAACAGGAAACCGAAGTGGAACCAAGTAGTGAAGCAATTCTCGTATCCCTGTTTTGAACCCTCCAGAAATACCAAATATTCCTGCTCTGGACTACAATCGCAAAGCTGCATTTTGTACCCTACAGCAAAACCAAACTGTGATCATGTCTGTGTGTGGGGAATGACACCAATTCTGCCAAAATAACTACACTTCAGTGGCATCTTCTGTTACTCCAACTAGTATCACTCCTCATTGACACATCTTCACACCTTCAGTTGACAAGTATATTGGCAGAATTTTGTAGAAAGGTCTTGCCTGAAGCTGTCTGGAGGAATACTTTACATCAACTCACTTATTAGAGAAGACATGGTAGAAATATAGTGATATTATCCTAGCTTAAAGATTACTGACGCAATATATGTCTTCAGAGATTTAATGTTCACTTAGAGCTGTGTGTGACTTTCCACCTAAAAGAATGATAAGAGAAGTGACTTACCACTTGTACCATTTTGAGATATCTGGCATATCTTGGATCCTTGGCCACAGTTACGACATTTTCTGTTACTACCTCTGTCTTCTGTAACCCTTCTTCATGTATATTGTTCTGCTGTATGCAAAGAACATAACACTTTAACGGTTAGGTATGCAGACCAGAAGTATGGAGAAATTTCAATCAATAAAATCTGTAATTTAAGGGTAAAGTGCAACCCTTCTTACATCAAATTATTCTGATCTACACTCATAGTATTTGAGATTTCCAAGATGTATGAAGTCACAAAAACTAGCTCTTTCATTACTGACTGTTACAAGCGTGACCTTTTACTTTCAGTCACAATTTTAAGTTATTGCACAATATTTGACAAAAAAAAAAGCCTATAATAGCCCTGTTAAGTTCGTTGTATTTAATAAACAAGATAGAACTAAATTTAAATGCCCACGTTATAAAAAATATATTTTTTAAGGATTATATCTATATATCTCCCCTAGTGTTATAATGCCTTTTTTCCTCAAAATATTTGATTCCTTGACAAATGTTTCCTATACCTCATATAGCTTTTAAATTATTTTTTTTAGTATAAACCATTAACCTAAAGGATAACATAATGAAATCAAAGAATTTTTAAGAGTAATTAATTAAAAAACAAAAAATTACAAGAAGCTATAGTACCATTTAAAGGACAACAGAAAACTCAGTATTTGCTATTAAACTAACCATTTGAAAATAGTATTGGAAATCTCCTTTGAGAAATATCTGTCCCTACTGTGATACTGGAGAAGGGGAACATTTCAAAGAAAATAAAATAACTGGGAATCATTCTCTAACACGATTGAAACACGCAATGCTACCTGTCTATTCTGTCTCTCATGTTGCTGGATGAAAATTAGAGATATAATCTTTAACAGGCAGGGAAAGTAGCACAGTTCTCCCGCTACTGCTACTCCACAACAACTTCCACCAAGGGACAGAATAAGCAGAAACTCGAATTGGAGATTCCAAGAAAAGAAACTATAATAGGAAACTGGGGAAAGAACTCCATCAACAAACGAGACAAAAAGCCTCACTTAGTGAAGCGGTGATCACAGGATTTAAGTGTGGGTAAAAAACCAACCAACCAAACACACACACACATACAGAAAAAAACCAACAAAAATTTAATTACAGAGATAGCATCTTAATGTTGATCACTTATAATAAGCTGGCAATTTCTGTACATAGATGATAATATACAGAGAACACTCACTGTAATAACCTCTTTAAAATAAAGTATGCTAGTGTTGCAGTTTTGACCCTGGCTAGCAGCTGAACACCACAACTGTTTGCTCACCTTCCCCCCTCTTGGGGATGGGGGAGAGAATTAAAGGGGTGAAGAGAAAAGAGACTCAGGGGTTGAGATAAGAACAATTTAATAACTGAACTACAATAAAATTGAAAATTATTATGATAATAATAATGATGATAATAATAATATTAGTAATAATACTAGTAATATATACAAATGTACAAATGAGTGATACACAGTGATACTGCTCACCACTCAATGACCAAAGCTCAGCCTGTTCCTGGCTAACAATCCCAGATCAGAGAGAGTCCTGAAACCGCAATCCCAGAACAGAGATAAAAGCCCGAGTGTCTGAGAGACCGAAACGACTCCGAGAGAGGGGCGACCCAGAGGGACACGACCCAGAGGAACACAACCCAGAGCAAGAGAGAGAACTTCTGGACAGTCTCATCTATATACTGGGCATGACGTGCATGATATGGAACATACCATTGGCCAAATTGGGTCTCGGTCCTAAACCTAAGATCAACTCCAACTGTAGCAATTGGGGCTGTGCTCCCTCACAACTTCTGCACCTGTGCAGACACTGGCACACCAGAGAGGCTGAAAAGACCTTGACTGTCCTAGCAGCAACTCTAAACATCAGTGTGCTATCAGCTGCCTTCTCAGTCACAAATCCAAAACATGGCCTCTTACTAGCTACTATGAAGAAAGTTAACTCCGTCCCAGTCAAAACTAGGACAGCTAGAAACTCCAATTTGAGCTGAAAGCTCACATTCTAAAAGGAGAAAAGAGTTGGAAATGTGTGACTCAAACTGTTAATTTCATTCATGACCTTCCCAGTCCCTTGATGTTATTCATGTTCATAATTTAGTGTAATTGAAGAAGATAGAGGCATTTACCATTAGATTTGAGTTAGTTCTAATTATTTAAGCCAAATATTCAAGAAAGGGTATATCCTTTTTTGTTTAAGTCACTCATTAAAACAGTTTCATTAGTGAAAAATGTAGTTATAGATCTTTACAGTCAATTGCTCTCTTCCAATGCACTTGCTTCTTCCATTTCTTTAAAATGAGACTAGAAACCTGACACAGAAAGCTATATTCCTTCAATGTATAAGTTATGCTTCATTACTTACGCCAGATTGAGGTGATACAGCTGTCTCTCGATCTGTAGTAGCTTGTGCCACAGGACCATTTGTAACACTATTCACATTTGCACTGGACACTTCAAAATTGACGTCTTCTAGGCCAGGAATAGAGGATAACTGAATGTACAAAACACCATCGTATAAGAAATGAGCATATGGTAAATCTACAGGCACAATAAAATCTGTAGTATGCTGCTTACTACATAGTCCCCTGATAGGTTTCATATCAGTAAAATCATAAATAACATTTTATCACAAGTTTTGGTATTTTGATTGGCAAAAAAAAAAAAAAAAAAAAAAAAAGTAATTTTCTACTCAGGTGGCTTTTACAAGAAAACCCCCAAAACACTCAATTGGAGCTTTCACTGACAGGACTGCAGTGCAGGAAAGGCTTTAACACCTTCCCAGCATTTTGCTACTCCATTTGTCAACCACACAAGAGCTGTGTCATCTTCTCTGCTAGTTCCTCTACAGTGAAAGAAAGCATGACAAGAACAGCCCTATTACCTAACAGATGGGTTACTGGTCACAGATTTTTCAATTTTCTACATCTTTCACTCTTTTCAGGAAATGCTGAGAGTGGATATTAAATACGTTGCATATTTGTTTGAAGAAAACACTATTTAATGTGATTATGAAGAATTCTGCAAAAATTACCAATGCTGATCACTCCTAAATATTTTGAAATAAATAATAGTAAGCACTGTTTGTGCTACTACAGTATTTTTTAGATGAAGATCTTTATGAATGGTTTCAAAATGTCTGACCTCTGCTCCCAGAAAAGCCAACTGAAATTGCTTCCATCATTACTGAAAGAAGGACGGGTTAAAACTGTACAGTAGGTGGGTTTTCACTTTTGGGTTGTTTTATTTATTTTTTTTTACTTTTAGCAAATTAAATGAGACTACAGATTATATATTTTTTTAATTTTAGCTAAAGAAAACACATCAGACACATTTGTGTTAGTTTAGATCCAATTTAGGTCACATTTCAACATCAAAAAGTTTACAAGGCATTTATCTAGTTACTTATACCAGTTGAAAATCATACAGTCAGGTAACACTTACAAAGATACTTTTGCTTTACAAAGGGGGTAAAAATTTCTTAATAGAGTTTGCATGCCAAATGCAATTTTGTACTGCAACCCTGCAACAGAATTTGCATATTTTAGTACTGGAAAACTTCCGTTTTCTTAAAACCAAACATTGCAACAAAAACAGGACAAGTAAGTTGCCATGTAGTTCCGTTACCCTTTCAACATCCAAGTGCTCCCTTCCTGTTCAATACACTTAACAGAGACAAAACCAACATTTCCACTATGTGCTGTTGGTTCCCTTCTTCCACATCTACTACATGTCCGAATGTTACACAATGTAAGTGGCAAGGCACACAAAGGGAGAATTTGCCATGTGAGCATTTTGTATTAGCTCCTTCAAATCATTATAAAACCTTATTTGCTTGATTCAGACTATGAAAAGGAAGGTAGTTCATGTAATCTAGGAGGCTGTCACTGTTAGAAGACAAAGTCTGTACACATACAAACCTTTGCATCCAAAATATTGAGTGTAGTTTCAATTTGTTGGATACGGAGAGAGAGTGCTGACAATTTCTAGAACAGAAAACAATTAGGATGTGAAAACACTCCCCTAGGCCACTTGTACATATACAAGAGTTCACATATAGCTAAACAAAACCACTTTTGTCTTCTACCTGCTGAAGGCAGAGTGTAAATGAGATGATAACAGTGCAAAATACATGAAGCAGTAACACCCTTTTTTAATTCAGTAGCTACACTGGTTCAAATTTTAAATAATTTTAATAGGCAGTCAGTTTTCCCGAATAATGACTGACAGAAATTAAGACAGACTATGTTCAAAAGAAAGCCAAAGTAAATAGGGTATTACTTTCAGCAACTGGAGAATAATGGTAGACATACTGTGTGTGCTCTTGCAGTTGCAAAAACATCTTTTTTCAAAGCTTTTTCCAAATGTGGAAGATGAAAAGATGTGACGTGTATGTATGTAACAGAGTAAATACAAACCAGAAAAATCTGATAAAGAATACAGCAGGTGACTGAAAGTCCTATACAGCCAAAATGCACAGTGAAGCAGAACTAACCAGAAGCTTTATAAGCTCTAGGTGCACCTCACTCAAATTTTGACACTTTTTAAAAAAACACAACTTAAGTTTTTCTAAATTACTCTATAAGAACTGTCAATCTTTTAACTAATCACTACCATACTCCACCAGACCTGTCCAAGCGAAGCTGGCTAGTACGCTTGCTGGCAGGTATGTACCACTCTGACAGCCTTCTGGCACGTTGGCAAGATTCTGCCTGGCTCTGAAGCAGAACTTTAACACCCTAAGAAAGCGGTAGTTCTGCCAATATGCTATAAAAAGTAAAAAGAGACTGACAGGAGTTAGTCATTTTGGATAGTTCACTGACTTGTTTACAGATGGTTCTCTGTTCATGAAGAGGAGTTAGTTCCTATTGAAAGGAACTATGTGCCCTAAGTGTAGCTGGGGAAAGGGGAGGAAAGATGTACAGAAGACAGTTATATAACTTTACGGGTCAGTTTGACTAGGCAAGAGCCAAGAAACTGAGAGTTAAGGACTGTGTCAGCCATAATTTTGAATGTCTTGGCTTCTGTTGATTTACAGTGGGATATTTCACTTTAAAAATACTTCTGTACTTCATAAATACAAAAAACTTTTCAAGGAGTTTATAAAACAATTATTTTAGTCTCTAGGGAAACAACATATTTGGGTTAACTAATAACTGTTTTATTAACTAGACTTCACAGCGTTGCTGTGTGCTCAAGACAGCTTTAAATATATGTGCCCTGATTTCCATAGTGCCTAGGTAAGAGCTAATACTGAGATCATGTGACAACTGAGTTTTGGACAACTGACAACAGCATCACCAGGCAGTTACACTGTCCCACATATCAAGTTACAAGAAGTTTAAAAATCTAGAAGAAAAATACTTTTTTCCTCTGAAGCTCCATATGTTGATGTGGTAGCCAAATTTTATACTTGTCACGGGTCTGGCTCTAAACTTTACTCACAACAGAATTACATGGCTTAGTCTAATTGGACTTGACTGCTGCCCTAGCCCTGCTGGCTAGGGCTGTATAGTAGCCTTTGTTGAATAAGCTAGTGAACAGTTACAAAAAAACCACTAATGACAAAAAGTTAAGCTCAAACTGCTATTAGAAAACATGCCTTCTACAAGGGAGGAAGCACTCTTGTCCTGTTCAATGGACAATTCTAGTCCTGTCCGTCTGGTATATTTCCATTGACACTAAAATCACCATAAAAACTTATTAACACTAAGTAGTTTATTTTTCTCTTTTTTTACGAGATACTAAAATTAACTACTTCATGGTCCATAGTAATCACTTGCTAAAAATGTCTTTTTCTCTGCATCAAAATTATTTACATTCAGAGCTTAGTGTATCAGCCATTTAAACCAACGGCACTAAAATGTGAAGGCAAGTTTTGATGCAATGTCCTAGGACGCAGATGAGAGGGATACTGACTGTCAAAATAGATTCAGCACCATATGAATATGGCATCCTCCTTCCAAAACAAGACGATATCCACAGATGGAGCTTCTCAGAACAAATTCCATATATCAAAAAGTTCAAAGACTGTGTCAAAACCAAAAGTTTAAGGAAAGCGGATTAAGTACGGTTTAATCAGCAGTCCATGTGGCTATCTTGGGGAAAACAAACCTATCTTAAACACTTACTCAAGAGAAACCTTGAACTGAAAGCAGACTAAATTTTTGGTTTAACCTACCAGTATTATTGCACAAAAAATACAGAAGTAAATGGTTCTCATTTCTAGGACTTTTTATTGTATAAATTGACAGCTAGGAAAATAATAAACATACCTCTTCACAAACAGTAGAAAAACGGTTTAGAAACTGCACTGTGTGAACCACAAACTGGTTTAGAAATGCTACAGTTCTTTTCTGCTGAATAGCAGGAACCTGCATTAAATAATATAAGAAAATTAGATTATACACAGATGTCAATTCTCACATTTGGATTCAAAGATCTATTAGAAATTGCAAATGATTCAGAAGAAATTATTTTAGAAATCTGCCCCAAGTATGCTCGCTATCAATGCATATGTATATAAGCAATTTTTAACATATATACGTATACATGTATACAAATCCTTTTTCACTAAAAAAATCTACTAACATGACAGTTGAAAAGTTGCAGGATACATAGAAAAGGCAACAAGATCTACATAAATGAAGGACTGTTATCTTACTTAAGGAGACGCTTTTAGATTAAATTGTGACCATTCCTAAAAATTGGTATTAAAACTTTCAAAAAACAGAGAGGCAATCAGAATCTTTCCATCTGAAGCTTAAGAAGAAAACTTGGGCATCCATACAAATACTCAATGACAACCAACATAATAATAAAAAATAAAGAGTAGAGAAATTGCTGTCTGTCTTTAGTGGCTACCTATGCTTCTTCTTATTTGCAAGCACAGACTATCCTAAAATTACATTTTAGTGTCACTCCTCCAAGTCAGATCTGATGCTCACACACTTTTCAGACTAACACATACAACGCCATGTTTGTCAGAAAAAAACAAAACCATCTGGTGCTCATAATGTAACAGGCTGTTGGCATTTTTATTTAAACCCTTATAGAAGACTGAAATCACAAACAGCCACAAAAATGTTTATATATAAAATTATAGTGCCTGATGGTTAATTATGCTGGACAATTGTTTAAGTCTTGAACTTCACAGAGGAAATTACTCTATGGAATCATAAAAGGTTAAAGTGAAGGATTTACAAGGAAAAATATTTGCAGCCAAGCTTCAGCTGCACTGAACTGGTGAATATAGGGACTGGCTGGTCTTCACCTCTTCTTTGGTAATCCACTTGTCAGTGTAGCCACTCACTACACTTTGCCAGTGTTAAGACGTCCTGAGACTTTTTGTTGCTACTATCTCAAGTTTTCAGTCTGTGCACCTGTACGGCAGGGTTTGCGAAGTTCAGTTCTGCAGTTCCAAACTGCCACACAGTGCTTATGACCTTACCAGAAATGTACGGGGCAGCACAGAGGATGGAAGGCTCACTAGGGCAACTGAAACGACGCTAGCTTTATGCTCTGTATTTGAGAAACAGAGCTAAAAGAATGGGTTTGCTTCATTAAAAGTCATGAATAAGCAACTCTGCATGGGATTTGCCTCACAGTTCTAAGACTGAAACGCCTCAGCCTGTAAATACAACGCCACCACAGAACCTGCAGCAAAACGCTTTTGGAAAACAGGAACACCGCGCTCCTGGACACACGGCTGAAACCAAGGCCAACCGCCTCGCCC